ATCATGCTTGGTAAAGTGGAGCATCAGCAAAAAAGTAGAAGACCCTCAATAAGATGGATTGTCACAGTGACATCAAAAATGGGCTCAAACATAACAACAATTATGAGGATGCTGCATACAGGAGCATTCTGTTCTGTTGTGCACAGGATCACTATGAGTCGGAACCCACTTGATGACACTTAATAGCAACAACAGCAACAACAACAATGATTAATGATGTTGAGCATCTTTTCATTTGCTTAATTGTCATTTATATATTGTCTTTGGAGAAATATCTGTTCAAATCTCTTGCCCATTTTAAAATTGAGTTATTTGCCTTCTTGTAATTGAGTTTTTTATATATTCTAGATACAAGTCTCTTACCAGATAATATGATTTGCTAATATTTTCTCCCACTCTATGGGCTATCTACTGTCTTGATAGTATTCTTTGAAGCATAAAAGTTTGGAATTTGATAATTCAAATTCAGTGTATGTATTTTGTTGTTGTTGTTGTTGTGTGCTTTAGATGTCATATCCAAGAAATCATTGCCTAATCGAAGGTCATGAAGATTTAGTCCTATGTTGTTTTCGTAAGGGTTTTATGGCTTAAGCTCTTACATTGAAGTCTATAATCCATTTTGATTAAACTTTTGTATATAGTGAGGTAGGGGCCTGTCTTAGCTAGTGCTGATATAACAGAAGATAACAAGTGGGAGGCTTTTAAGAACATAAATTCATTTTCTCGTAGTCAGGAGGCTAAAACTCCAAACTAGGGTTTTTTTTTTTTTTTTTTAATGTTTTATTGTGAATTACATGATAGTTTACATGGAGGAACTTTAGTTTCATATTCATTCCATCGTATATCATCTCATTGCCATGGTTCCAATCCCCTCCATGCATCATCAACCACTCAAAGGGTATATCCCAGAAACCCGCCCCCTACACTTTCCCCTTCTCCCCCCAGTTTTAGGCCCACAGTCCCTTTCCCTCTCTGGGTCCAAAGTCCCCAGTCGCTTCATC